TTTAATTTTATTTTTCAAATAAAAAAGAAAATATCACTCAGAATAGCTAATACAATATTGAAGGAGAAGAATAAAGCTGGAGGACTGACATTATCTGACTTCAAGACTTACTATAAAGCTACAGTAATCAATAGAGTGTGGTATTGGAGAAAAAATAGACCAATAGGTCAATGAAAGAGAATATAGAGCCCAGAAATACATTCACATAAATATAGTCAACTGATCCTTGACAAAGGAGAAAAGATAATACAATGGAGCAAAGATAGTCTTTACCACATACGGTGCTAGAATAAGTGGACATCCACATGCAAAAAAATTAATCTAAACACAGACATTATACTCTTCACAAAAAAAGCCTCAAAATGGATTATAGATATAAATGTAAAATACAAAACCATAAAACTTCTAGAAGATAACATGGGTGAAAGTCTAGATGATTTGGGGTATGACCATGACTTTTTTGACACAACATCAAAGGTACAATCCATGAAAGAAATAATTGAAATGCTGGACTTCATAAAATTAAAAAATTTTGTTCTAGAAAAGACAATGTCAACAGAATGAGGAAATGGGTCACAGACTTGGAAAACATTTTTGAAAAAGATACATCTGATGTTATCCAACATATATAAAGTACACTTAAAACTCAACAATAAAAAAACAAAAACCTGATTAAAAATGGGTCAAAGACTGTAACAGACACCTCACCAAAGAAGATATAGGTTAGTAAATAAACATATGGAAAGATACTTCTCATTATATGTCATCAGTGAGATACAAATTTAAACAACAATGAGATACCATTACACACCTATTAGAATGACCAAAATCCAGAACACAGACAACCTCCAATGCTGGTGAGGTGGAGGAGCAGCAGGAAGTCTCGTTTGTTGCTTGTGGGAATACAAAGTGGTACAGCCACTTTGGAAGACAGTTTGTTGGTTTCTTACAAAATTAAACATACTCTTACCACACAATCCAGCAAAGTACTCCTTTGTATGTATCCAAAGGAGTTTAAAACTATTTCCACACAAAAATCTGCACATAGATGTTTATAGCAGCTGTATTTCTAATTGCCACAACTTAGAAGCAATCAAGATGTCCTTTAGTAGGTGAATGGATAAATAACATTCCTACGATAGATTATTATTCAATTCCAAAAAGAAATGAGATATTAAGCCACAGAAAGACATGGATGAATCATAAATGCTAAGTGAAAGAAGTCATTCTGAAAATACTTTATACTGTATGATGCATACTGTATGACATTTTGGAAAAGGCAAAACTATGAAGACAGTAAAAAGATCAGTGGTTGCCAGAGGTTGGGATTGGGAAGGAATGAATAGGCAGAGCACAGAGGATTTCCAGGGTGGTGAAAATATTCTGTATAATATTATAATGATAGATGCTTGTCATTACACATTTGTCCAAACCGTAGAATATACAATACCAAGAGTGAGCCCTAATGAAAACTATGTTCTTTGGTGATTACGATGTGTCAATGAAGGTCCACCAATTGTAGCAAATATACCTCTCTGGTGAGGGACGTTGGTAATGGAGAAGGCTGTGAATGTGTCAGGGCAGGAGATACATGGAAAATCTCTGTATCTTTCTTTTGATTTTTCCGTGAACCTAAAACTGTTCTAAAAAGTAAATTAAAAAAAGAAAAGAAAAGAAAAGAAAGAAGGAAACTATCCTTGAAAAGTTCCTAGTAATGTCTATTTCTACTTGTGGTAACAAAATATTGAGGTGCTTTGGACCAGATCTTTTTCATTTTGGGAAAAAATCTTCTGAGTGCCTTTTAATCGGGTAGCATTAAAGCACTGATCTGGGACAGAGGTATGAGGGCACAATAAGACCTGAGAAAGGAAGCCTGGAGTGAACACTTAGTGTTTTGTCTACCCAGCCACTTTATTTGGGGAGAATTATACGACAAATTCTAAAAATCGTCTTTTCTATCTATGTGCATTTAATGGGATCTTTTGTGTTCTTCAATGTCTCTGTTCATTATAATTGAACATTTGCCCCCAAATGGGCCAATTATAATTCCCTGGATGCCCAGAATTTAGGACCTGGGAATCTTGGACTCAAGAAAAAGCTAGCTCAGTTATTCTTGATTAAACAAATTGATTTAATAAAGGTTGATTATATTTTATGGAACTCTTGGTACATTAGAATGTTATTTGTGAAGTATGATCAAGTGTTATTCACTGCTAGGCAATACTAGTTGTCAAAGTTTGCTACTAGCATACATAAAAAGAAGTATTTATTTGCAGAGTTGTTAAGAACAGCTGGGATAAATAAAGATGCCGACAAAACATTTAATTTCAATATGAATTGTATCTATTATGATATAAAAGTCTAAATTTAAGGTGATACATTAACTAACTTTATTGTGGCAGGCATTTTATAATAAATACATGTATCAAATCATCACACCATATACCCTAAACTTACACATTATATGTCAATTGTATCTCAATAAAGCAGGGAAAAAAATGAAATCTAAACTTGATCTTTATATCATTAAGGGATCTTTTCATCTTAAGAGACAAAAAAGCAAACTCAATGGTTTTTTTTTTTTTAATAGAATTCTTTGGTGCATGCAATTTAAAAATTGAGGAATATATTTACCTTTATATTTTTCTTGAACCAGAAAGAACCTAGTCTTTCACTTCTCTTTCTGTGCCTTTCTCTGTGCCAATTCCATTCTCTGACATGCTTGTCCCTCATACTGCAATACGGCTACATCTTTATAACTCCAAGTTCAGTGGAAAAGAGGAAGCTCTTTTCACCATGAATATACATGAAGACCCTGAGTCTTATTCTAACTCTAAATCTGTCACCAACCCATCACTGAACAGATCACTGGGTCCAGAAGGAAGATGTACTACGGGGCAGATTAACTTCGATTATGGCATGGTAACAAAATCTGAAATCCCAAAGGCTTATAATAATGACCTTTATGTCTTGGACACATTGTTTGGCCATCAAAGGCAGGCTGCTTCTTGGTCGTCCTCACTCCTAGACTTATGTTAAAGGGCAACCACTGTCCGCTGTCATGGTGGCAGAAGAAAATTTGAATAGACCCACATTAGCAATTAAATGCTTCTTCACCTCACAGTGATATATATGTCCTTTTTTCACTATGCATTAACCAGAACTAGCCACATAGCCCCACTCGCCCATCAGAAACAGGAAGTACAATCCTACCATGTGCTCAGAATGGATAGAAATTGGATTTTTTGGCAAATAGTATTAAAATATGCCAAATGCACTATCTCACCTACACCTGGGAGTAGGGTCAGCCCCACTACAGTTGAAAATCTATTAGTGCCCACAGAAATTTAGGCTATTGGTAGAAAAAAGTAAGAGTGGCCATCAGAAAAAAAAAAAAATTAACTTTCCATTTAAGTAAGTCAGTTTCTAGTAAATGACCAAAGTTTTTGATGCAGTATAAGTATATATTCCTATGTTAATAAATTATTGACTTCAAAGGTTATAAAAGTTATCATATTTGTGGTTATAAACAAAAAGCCAAAAACTAAATGTCATTTCTTTCCCCATCCTTCTGATTTGAATCTGGGTGATTTCCTGAAGACTCAAAACCACCTGAAGTTTTCAGAGTAGACATTTAAAATCTAGTTTAGTTAGGTCGTAGGACAGTTCAACCTGTGAAAATACAGTGGTTTTAAACCTTTAACTAATTCTATTCACAAATAAAGATGTGTGATTTACACTTGGATTTTCATTTTTAATACCTAGCTAGAACAGTTCTGTTCCCTATGGGTGCAGCATCATTAGATCAGGGCTTTTCATATCAAAGATTTTTCTTCCTTTAGTTGTGACAAACAGGTATCCATTTAAGTGAACTCAAAAGAAAGAAAGAAAGAAAGAAAGAAAGAAAGAAAGAAAGAAAGAAAGAAAGAAAGAAAGAAAAAGGAGTTAATGTAAGGCTACAATTTGCCTGCTCCATCTTGAGGAGAACACTGATTTTTTTTTAATCTTCATTTTTGTTTTCTTTCTTAGCATCTGATCTTTTTTTTCCCCCTTTCTTAATAATCTTCCTGCATATTCACCTTTATAGCCCAGGGCACTGCAACCAAAGGACAATGACAAATTACAATCACTGGGTCTCTTAGTAAAATTCCAAAAAAATAAAAATAAAATTCATTGGGTGTTGGAAATCGGTATACTGTTAGTCAAATCAGCTCTGGTTGTGGGGAAAATATCCTATGGAACATACAACTCTTTCAGGGCTTTTGGATGGGGTAAGTTAAACAATAAGAAGAATTGCACAAAAAAGCTAATTGGGCACATCTGCCATAGGAATTAGACTAAGAATATTAATATCATTTATGCTTACTACAATTATAATTGCTTTACAAATATTTTTAATGCTGTGATGCAGATACCATTATTGGTCTCATAGATAGGAAAGCTGAGATACAGAAAGATAAAAAAATTCACCCATGGTCACACAGTTAATCAGAGGGAGAGCTACCCTGGATTTGAGAGTAGGCGGTCTTGTTTCAGACTGTGGTTTTACCTATTATGCTATACCACTACTATTAGCTCTCCTAAAACATCCAAGCTTATGTAAACAAGTTTATTAGCGTTTTGGGATGCTCTCTTAACTTTTTTTGTCAGTAGCAAAATGCTTTTCATTCTCTAAAGCTCATCTCAAATATCACTATTTCCACTTTGCAAGCTTTCCTGAGCACCTTCCTTCTGCTGCTAACCCACTCTGTACGTTCCCTTAATTATCTCACAGGTCATCTTGCCCTGTAATTGGATAATATTGTAATATTGTGAGCTTCTGAGCAAGGGTATTATATTCCTTATCTCTGTATTCTTGGTGTACATAGCATAATTAGTGGCAAATAGTATATACTTAATGAAGTGTTACTGGATTATTCGCATAATGAAAAACATAAATGCATTAATTATGATTTATACTTTACTAAATTCACCAATTTCTCTTCTGCTACATTGCATAGGACAAAAATTGCTTCCGTAAGAAAACCTGGGAACAATGCCTGTGAATCTTTGAAATTACTGGGATTCAGAAGCCGAGACGGCGGCTGGTTTGGGCTTGATGATGTTGTGGTGAGAACTGTGCAGAGTGGCTTGATATCATTTGAATTGTGTGAACATTTAGAAAGGTAATGCAGTAGCAAACAATAAAAGTTGATGATAGTCTGTCTTAATGATTTATTATTGGTTTGCATAAATGGGATCATATGATTAAATCTTTATTCTTCAAATAGGAATATGAATAGTCCCTTAGAGTGTGCTTAACATGCAAACCAGAACTGACATGAATATGTTAACTGTAATTTCATTCATGATAGCTTAATAAGTGCTTTTGGAAACCAGTCATAACTTAGATTTATTTTTACAGGTTTCTTCTAACTACAAAATAGTTCTAAAATAGCACCTTCATTTCTGAAATTTCATGAAGATAGTAATTAACTGTTCACATTATGCTCATCTCATAACTATGTATATGTAAACTGAATTCGTTATTCCAATGTCCTCATTTTGCTTTCTCATTTCCATGTTTTCTAGACAGCTCATTATGAGAAGAGTTTTTGACAGTTTTAAGGTTCATGAGGAGTAGACAGTCATAAAGAGAATCCTGTGACCAAAGATAGCCTTTATTTCATAATGGAACATCTTACGTCTACAACTGTCTGAGGTCAGGTTCTCTAGAAAAAGAGCCTAAGATGAAAATGCAAGTGCTTTATTGAAATAGGGCTCCCAGATGAATCCCGGAAGGGAATAAAAGAAGCAGGTGGTTTCAGCTGAAGGTTTACCTCCACCTGATAGCTCCCGGGAGCTTTGCAGTACAAGTACCAAGGGTCTGGCTTTACATCTGCATCGGTCAGTCCTCACCTTGGATGTGGGGCTGCTCTGAACTGGGGCCTCCTGTGGGGCAGTTCTCTGGAGAAGAGTTGGGTGATGGGGGTTCTTACCCAGGGGAAGGATCTGTTTTAGTTTGCTAGGCTGCCATAATGCAGTACCACAAACTAGGTGACATAAACAACTAAAATTTACTGTCTTAGTTCTAGAGGCTGGGAGTCAAAATCTAGTTGTTAGCAAAGTTCATTTCTTCAGAGGATTCTGAAAGACAAATCTGCTCCAGGGCTCTCTCTTCAGCTTGTAGATGGCTGTTGTTACGTTCACTTGGCATTTTCTCTATACTCATTTCTTTGTGTCTAAATTTCCCCTTTTTACGACACACACACAGTCATATCAGATTAGGGCCCATCCTAATGACCTCACATTAACTTCACCTCTGTAAAGACCATATCTCCAAATAAGGACACTTCTGAGGTACTAGGGATCAGGACTTCAACATATGGATTTGAGTGGAGGGAACACAATTCAAGCCATAACAGGGTCCATCATAACAATCCTTGCCACACATGACAGAGGAGAATATTTCAATCTCCAGTTAATTATGATATATATTCTTCATCTTATTAGCAGTGAATGGATTATTTTGATCATCTTTTTCTTCTATATTTTGAAGTAATATTCTTTAGTAATGCTAATTAAAATACAATTTAGAATACATTGCCATATTTAGAGCCGAGCTGAGACTAGACAGTTTCTTTGTTTCAGCACGTCTCTCAGAATGTGGTTTGATTTGAGCTGGTTTCCTGACGGCCAAGAGTTTCATTAAACTCACTCATAAATCCAACCAGTCGGTCATCAGAAGGCTTGATGTTAAAGGAAGTTTGGTTTGATAATGGTTCCTTTCTTGAGTCTTATTAGTTACCAGTAATATTTTTGAGACTGTATGTTTACCTTAGGTCACACCTGTTTTTTTGTTTTTGTTTTTGTTTTCCGATGCAGGTTTATTGTGCTTCATCTGTCTTCCATTGTGGACAACAGCCATTTGATTTCTTTTGTGAAATCTTTGGAGGAAGCCGTGCTCAGCACCACTGCCTGCGTTGTCCTGCACCACCATAAAGATGATCCACATAGAGTCGTCATTTTAGCGGTGCCTTCTAAAGATTTAACCCAGGTGCTCAGGAACTCATGCTCAGAAGCTTTCAATGGCCCTACAGAGCTCTCTCGTCATTTCCAAGTAAAAGAAGGAGAACAACTTTTTTTAAGGTTTACTGGAAACATATTTGCTTCAAGTATGTATAAAGAATTTTTTTTTTGCATATTATGTGCGCTATTAATAGCTTGAAGCCACAAACTTCGGGAAGGGTTTGCTAAACTTGTATTACTAAGGAAAACTCCAGAGGACTGAGGGGCTTTTGAAAAGCAGGAAGAGAAAAAAATGTATTTACTTCTTTCTTCCCAGTCTCTCTTGCTTGCTTGTTTGGGGAGATGCATATTCCTTTATGGGCAGACTCTAATTGACACTCTTTTTAGAAATGATCCTCTATGTGATTACTATCTGAGTACAAGCTAGGATCATCTCTTTCCTACACCAAAGCAGCTGCCTCCTAAATATGCCTCTGCTTCTACTACTGGCCACATGAAATCTATTTCTCTATAGTAATAACAGAGTTTTTAAAAAAAAACTCTCCTGATTAAAACCTTATAATTACCTCTTATTCTACTGAAAATAATATCCAAACTCTTTATGATGTTCTATAATGAATCTAACCTGGAATCAGTGGACTCACAAGACATGTGTGGATAGAACTATATATATTCCAGTACAATTGACGTATTTATAATTTTATTTATTTTATTTTACATGTTTAAAAGACTACTCTGAGAAGGAATCAATAGGTTTCAGCACTCTATAAGAGTCCATGGCAAAAAGAGTGGTTAAGAACCTCTGATCTAAATGATATATCCCTGCTTACTTCTCATCTTCATATTTATCTAGTGCTTTTTTGTTACCATTATAAATCTTACCACAATTCAAAATTATTTTACCTACTTATGAGTTTACTTACTTTTCACTCATATGCTTATATTATGCTCTTCACTGGAGTGTAATTTTCATGAAGGCAGCGACTGTGTCTTTCTTGCTGTTCACCCCTGAGGCTAGAATATTGTCTGGTATTAAGCCTTTCAATAAATCTGTAGTAAATGAATGACTATAAACAGGATGAGTGAATCTCAGAGGGGACCGGAAGATGAGAGGTGAGGAAATGCATGAGAAAGAAGAGATAAAAGGAGTTGAAAAGAAAGAGAAAAAAAAGAAAAAAAAAGAACACAGAAAATAAATGTGCAAGAGAAGAGAGAAAAAGATCTTTGAGAGAGTTGCCATCACAGCAATTTCTTTTTTATGAATTTAACCCTTCCCCACTCCAACTCTTTTCCTTGAGGTGAAATAAAATCTAACAGGTATGCATGTAAAGATGAGGTATCGAGAAGAATTCAGGGATGGGCTTATGGAGATTTCTGGCCCTGGAGTCTTGTGACAGACTTGATCTCAAGTAATATTCTCTGATCACTTATAAATTAATATAGACCCCACTGATTTTTAATGATACCTATTATCTCTCTGATTCTGGAAATTACTCCAAGGCCCACTGGCTCTTTGTTGCTTCAAAAACGATGTGGCTTGAAGCTGAGGCTGCCCATTTTCTGGCATCTCTGAAGTGAGACCCAAGTGTCCCAATTTGAAGTGTCTCTTTCACTTTAACGTGCAGAATCTCAGCCGTCTGAGTCAGCTGACAGGACTGGACAGGGATGTCAGAGAAAGAGAAAGGGAAGGGAGAGGACGGGGGAGAGGAAGGAAGGGTGGAAGAGATCTCTTCCTACTTGGCTTCCAAGCAGAAACCACGGTGTCCACCCTGGGACAGTCTCTCTAAGAAGATATAGTCAAAAACTGGAAGTGTCCCACCCAAGCTAATAATGCAAATGATTTTCCTGTAATACTTGGGACAGCAGCTGTGTTTACCTACTGCCCTAAACAGGAATGAGTTACTGTGCTTCTTACAGGCCGTGGTACTGAGTATACTATTGTCTGTGATGGGGAGTGGGGAGAATATGCTAAGAGTGCCTGAAGATAGTCATCGAGTATGTACAATTCCTCCAAATAAGGAACAGGGAAGAACTCATCTTCACTCAGAGAACATGAGTCAGGCAGGTTGCCGGAATCATTTCTGTTTTGCCTTTCCTAGAAATCTATGCTCAGATTTGGAGTCTCACTGGATTTTTCTCCCTTTAAGAGGAGCAAGATCCTCAGTAAAGAACTGATACTCATTCTCTATCAGGGCCTGTGGGTGTCTCCTTGAACCTCAGACCTGAAGACAGAGGTTTCTGCCTGGAGTGTTTTCCTCCCCATCCATCCCTACTCCCACCTGCAGTTATCTCCTACATATCTTCATATCGCATTTTGATAATCGTGTTCGGAGAAACCTTCTCTATTCTGATTATGTCAGTTCTTACTTTACTCCATCAAGACCTTATTTTACTTCTCTTTTGCGGACTTTGCTATAGATGCAATTTTCTATTTATTCATTGAATTGATCAATAACAGTTTCTCTGACTACTGTTCCATCAAAGGAGGGTCAGTCCAGTTGGTGAGAATCATTTCATCCACAGCACCTAGGATGGTGCCTAACAGCTAGAAGGAATTTATTGAGTATTTGTTGGAAGAATGAAGGCAAAAGCTTGGGAAAAGACTTAACACATTAGTATTGTGTAATTAAGTATTTAAAACTTTAATAAATTGAGATGACTGCCCTCTGAGAAATGTTGAAATTTCTATATTTATTATGTAGAATAGAGATGATTCTTTTGAGTGAGGGCCATGGGACATAGACTTTATTTCTACTTCTAAGAGAAAATAAGATATATAGGTGCTCCTCTTGGTTTTTATATTAACCTCTGGCATTCCTCTGGATAAGAAGAATACTGGACAAGCTAGAATATGCTTTCATTTTCTAGGCCAGAGAGGTTAATTTGGCATTTAAGCTTTTTATCGAATGATATCTGAGTCCCTGGTGCTTACCAAAAAGTGTTGGGAAATGGGCAGACAAAATTTTATATAATGATATCTTAGCATCGCCCATAACATTTAGTAATGTCATAAGGAGGTCTGTGTGTTTCAAAGTTGCCCCAAATGCTCTCCGGCCCAGGCAAGTGATTTTTCCAGACACAGATGTAGGATATTAGGATGACTATGCTTTTATTTATTCAACAAAAATTTCCTGCTCTTATATATATTATATTCTAGTAGGGAAAAACAGAGAAGAAGCAAATAAGTAAATAAAATATACAGCTTAATGGGGTGAGAAGTACTTTATAGAATAAAGCAGGGAAAGGATATAGAGAGACTCAGGGAGTGTCAGAGTTGCAATTTTAAATAGACCCATTAGGGAAGACTTTTTGAGATGGTGGCATATAAACAGAGATGAGAGAGCAAGCTATAATCCCATCCCTGGTGAGTTTGCCCTAGGCAGAGGGATTACAAGTATAAATAAACCAAGGCAGAAGTGTACCTGGTGTGTTTGAGGAACAGCGATGAGGCTGTGATGGGTAGATTAGAGGGAGTAAGAGCAAAGTTGGAGATGAGGAGAGTACTGATCATGGCTTGAAGTCCATTGCAAGGATTTTGCCTGTTATTCTAAGTGATATGGGGAGCCATGAAAAGTGTTAACAGAGGAGTCACTTGATCTGAGTTAAATTCTAATTGTGTTGAGAATAGATTGTGTAAGGCAAGGGAAGGAGCAGAAAGACCAATTAATGAGTCATTGCAGTAAAACAAGCAAGGGATTGATGGAGGCTTAGAGGCCAAGGTGGTGGAGATATATTAGAATACAGAAATACTCAGAGCCTGTGGTTCTCATAGGATTCTTCCAATTCCCCATATTGCTAGCGTTTCACCCCTTCATCTGACTTTTCTAAGCAGAAACAGGTATTGCTACATTTGCACTTTCTGTCATCAATAAGAAATATTCCAATACCCATTAATGTGAAGAAAATATATTGCTATAAAGAATATCTAGTAACATACAAATTGTAAGTTAATTTTGTATTTTTTTAGATGACAAGGTTTTTTGAAAAGCTACTATTTCAGGGAACTATATACATGATACGTTGAAGAGAAATTCTCAAAAGGTCAACTCATGGTTGATTTCATAATTTTGCTATGCAATGAATAACTTTTGTTTGTATTTATCCTCTAAGTGCTTCCATGTGGGAGATAAAAGAAAAAACCACTAGAAGAATTCTGCTTCTTATCATTTACTATCATTGCTATTATTTATTGAGCACTTATTTTATGCAAGACCCTGTGCCAATTATTTTACCCATATTACCTCATTTCATTTTCAGAACAATCTTAGGAGGTGCATTTTATTTCTCATGTTTTAAAGATAAGAAAGTTAAGGCTCTAAGAAATTTAGTTAGAGACGTGAAAGAACTGGATAAATAGTACAGTGTAAATAAACATAGAGGCTGGACTTGGATCTGTAAGTCAGAAACGTATTATAACTGCTACATCGCACTTTACTTTAAAATTTTGCTAAAAGTGGTGCAGCTGTGCCTTAGGCAGTGTTTGTTTTACCCTAGCAATGGTAAGTTTAAACATCCCAGTTGTCATGGTAAAACCCCCCATGGGTGAAATGTTATGGTCACGAAAGCTCCATTACTTTCAGTGAGCAGTGAGCAGTTTTGGGGGGGAATTCACCAGGTTTTAATAGAAATTTCAGTAATGTGAACCTAGTAACTATTTCATGTGTCAGTTCTGTCTATTTCTGTGATGGTGGAAATGTTTTATATCTGCACTACCTAATAAGGTAGCTACTAGACAAAAGTGGCTATTGAACTTTTGAAATGTGGTTAGAGTGACTAGGAAATTGAATTTTAATTTTAAATATTTTTTTTCTGGGTACCAAATTACTTAATTTGAAGGAATGGCACAAAGGAAAGAACATAAGTAGATAATTTGGTACAATTCATAGAAAAGGTTAAGGTAACCTCAACATGCAGGTACTGCTTTGGTGACTAGGAATGTCACTCTTTAATTAATTTTAAACTTAAAAAGCCATATGTTACTAGTGGTAACCACGTAGGTGAATGCAGTTCTAGAATGTCTATTATGAGGTCATGATAGTGTACAATATGATATAGTTCGCGGAAAGGAAAAAAGGTTATTCTTGAAAGGTGAAAATAATTTTTAAATACAGAAAGCGCTAACTGTTTACAATTACTTTTGTGATAGCAAAATGCAATAACACAAGAAAATCAAAGATTATTAGATCTAGAAACAGCCAGAGATCCCCTGGGCCAGTTACAGATGAGAAACCTTTTTATTAACCTAGACAGTCTACGTCTATTGCTGCTTTGTCAGGATATATTTTGATAAGAGGCAATGACACCAAAAAATCTTTAATTGTATTTAAAAAATAATATGATTATTTAGATTCTAAAAATTAAGACAATGATATATCTTAATAATAACAAATGAATTTTACTTTTATTTAGGCAATGGGAAGGATTATGGAAAAGACTACAAGCTTATTTTTCACTTACAAAGAAAACCCAGGCTGGAACTCCAAATCAAAGAGGTGGATGAATTTGGAAACTATAGCTGCTCTCATTATAAGGGCACCATTGTAGTTTATAAAGAACCTAAGGAAAAGATAGTCCGCAACTTGGATCAATCTCTTATACTTAATGAAAACCATTATCAGTTTCCAGTTTGCAAATTACCATTGAGATTGCCAAAGGTGAGTTATTTTACTTTCCTAATTACCATTTTTTGTTAATTTTTTATAATTCTCTACCACAATCAAAACTTCAAGAATATGGATACTTAAGATTAAAAGGTAAGGTAGGAATAAAGTTGATAAGGAAGGGCTGGGTAGCTACAATTTTAGAGTAGTAGACTGTATATCAAGATTTCTATTTTTATATCAACTTTCTAACAGGAATAATTTGAGTTGACCTGATCCTGACAGTATGTGGTTAATGAATATGGAAATAATGTCATTCATTTTCTGTAACTGTATCTGAGTAACCAGAGAAATCACTTATACAAACGTTTGAGTATATTTTAGAGGAAGAATCATGTGGTGAGCAGAAAATGACATCAAAATATCTTCACCAAGATTACCAAATCCTGCACATTTGTTTTAAGAGTTAATTACTCTTATCTAAAATTCTTATTCTTATCAGGAAAGTAGGATTGAATTGTTTCTCCAAACGTGTCAAACAAATAAATAAATTCATTGCTGTAAATACTATTTCTTTTGGTAATCTATGACTTAGTACATCTCAACTATATTCTTAATGAGAAAATGATTGAAAATTTTGTTTTATCACTCCAGATGAAGAACAAATTTCTTCTCTAAAGATATCAAGAAAATTATTTTTCTTTGCTTTTTCTTTTTGTGTTGTGAATAGCAGGAATATATTTCCCAGGGGGTTAGATTTTGTACTGATTTTAAATAAATCAGTAATTAATTTGACAAATATTAATTGCACTTCCAAGACAGGGAGTGTGCTATGCTAGGCATTATGATAAATTCAGAGCTGCTGAGGAAAATGCATGCCCTGAGGCTGCACTGTCCTGAGTGGTAGCCACTGTCCTCACTTGTCTGTGGAGGATCTGAAATACGGCTAGTCCGCATTGAGATGTGCTGTATGTGTAAAATATACACTGTATTTCAAAGACTCAGTACAAAAAAAATTAAAATATTCCATTAATAATTTGTTTATATCGAATGCATAGTAAATTATAATATTTTTGTTATGGGATTAAATAAAATGTTACTAAAATTAATCTCACCTGTTTTTTAAAAAAATTATATGGCTAAAAAAGTAAAATAAATAAAATTACTTATGTGTCTCTAACTCTATTTCTATGGGACAGCACTGCTCCAAATAATTTACAATCTAACAAAGTGTGCAAAACAAGTACACGAAATCACCTTGTAAGACAACCACCTATTAAACTAATGGTATGAACAGTAGTACTAACAGTTGTTCAGAGGAGGGAACAGACTTTTCTGGAAGCTGAAAGCAGTAGAAGTTTCGTGGTGGTTATGACATTTCATCTGAGCCTTGTAAGTTGGTAGAAATTTGGCCATTGGAAATAAAGAAAAAAGTATGTTAGGATGAGGAAACGGAATGAATTTGACTGGAGATGGTAGGCATAGCTTAGCAGGAATTCATAATTCATACAACGATTATAATAATTTCTAATGTGCCAAGTCTTTTAAGAGCTCTACGTGCATTATTTTATCATTAAATCCTCACAAAAATTCTATCAGGCATGCAAATTTTAGGCAACTTGCCCAGGGTCCCCATAGCTAAGTGATTGTCAGAGTTACGATTCAAACCCAGAAAATCTGCTTCCCACATATGCAACCACCGTATGCTGTTGCCTCTTTAACAGATAAAGCCAGGAACCTTAGGGATACAGGATAGATTTTAGAGCATCCAGGTTCATCCTTGAAGTAGTATGACAATTTTATGTATACTATGCTTTAGTATAGAGGGGATATTAAAATTATTTAACAAATAATACGACGTGGGTTCTGGCCATTCAAACTGAAAGTGGCCATTTGAACAGAAGTGCAGGGTCCTTAGAGACATTAACTTTTTACTTATGGTTTTGGGGAAATTCTGGGGTATCTGGGTGGCATGTATAGGGTGACAGAGTCTATTAAACCACTGATACTGAAAATTATATTTTAAGAACGGTAAAGCCACATAGGTGTATACTCACTCTCAATTTTTCCTCTGTTCATTTCCATTTCCATCTTAGGCCCTATTTTGGGGCTGTCTTCCCTCAGTCACGTAGCTGGTTATCATTCAGTCCTCAACCCAGATATCCTCTCCTTCCACTGATGCCCCCATCTCCTTATCTTACTTTCACTCTTTGACCCATTACCCTTTTAAAACTTACTTCATAACACTTACCATTAATTGAAATTATTAGATTTATTTATTTGTGTTCATTTATTTTCCACTTGCCTTTGCTCCTTAAGAAAGCAAGCTTTGTCAGTAAAGGACATTGTATACCCTGTTCTATCTCTATCATCAGTGATTAGAACAGTACCTGGCACATTGTAGGTGCTCTAAATATTTTCGACTGGATGAATGAGGAGAGGTCTATCGCATTCAATAGATTCTAAAATTTTAATAACTACTGACTTAAAGGAATACTTGAACTCTCTTTGATCAGTGGTTTAAAGCCTGACTCTACAGAATTGATTCGGAGCAACATGAAGATTTGAGAGTATCAGGGCTGCTCTCCTAGTAGCTCAATTTAGCACATTACTTCCTAAAATCACTATGTTTTCCTGCTGCTATGGGGTGACTAGAGGGAGACAAGTTAGGGGGGCTACAGGGATTATCAGACAGAAGGTAGTGAGGGCCTCACTGTGATGATGACAGACAATGGAAAGAAAGGCCGTTATGTAAGAGAGGACAGACTTGAGATACAAAATGTGACAAAGATTCAGTTTTCAGTTTGTAGTGTTTTCTTTGTGGCCTATTTGACTGAATGTATTAATTAGCTAAATTAGCCAAGCTAGAAATTTTAGGAGTTTATATAGATTTGTTTCAATACAAGTCTGTGTAAATAATTGTCCAGGTCTTTTGCATAAGCTCTTCCTCTGCCTTGATTCTAGCACACCATGGCCCACCTACTTGCCAGAGTAATTCCCCGTGGTCATCCCTCATGGCTCTGCTGAGGTGTAACGTCTTCCAATCTCCTCCTCCATACCGAGTTAGATGTTCCTGGTGTGTGTTTCTATAACGTCCCGTACTTTCCCTATCACTGTAATTAGCTTATTTTATTATAATCACTTGATTCCCAATAAACAAATGTTTCTCCATCTGTTTTTGTCCTCCTAAGGAATCTTTTTAGACATCTTTTTTCCTAACCGTACTTTCTCATTCAAATTTAATATCGCAGATATTTGTATGTCTATGTACTGTGCATGTATATACACATTAAAAATTGCATTTAGTGGACACATTAAATATATTAATGTACACATTAAAATATATCTATGTATAAATATATATATACACACACACATTAAAAGTATAAGCTTTTTTTTTTTTTTGTCTTGCCCAAGAGTAAATTTTCTCTCCTTGAGAGTAAAGTTACCCTAGCTGGGTTGTGTGCAATTGACTTTACAGGCACATTCATTGTCCTGCTCAATTTGTATTGTCAGTGCCACATATAGGGTGTGCTTGATAATTATCTGTGAATGATTACATGAACAAGGCAATTTCTTCAAACCTTAAAATTATCCAACCTTGACACTGATAATCTTGAAACTATAATGGCATGTTAAAAATAGTACATTTTAAATGTCAGCTGCCTTTCATATATGAATCTCAAGACAATGTGTCACCTGTCTTAACTTCTCCTCCAAACCCTGCAATGGCTCCTGGTTTCACTCAGAGTACAAGAATCTGTATGAACTTGGCCCCCACTGACTCTAGGACCTTTTCTCCTATATTCTCATGTTCACTTATTTAACTCTAGCCACAATGACTGACTCTCCTACTGTTCTTGGAATTTGTCACACATGCATCTACTTCAGGTCTTTGTGTTAGTAGTTCCCCCACCTGGATTGTTCTGTCCTTCAGATACCTGCCTGGCTAACACCATCACCTCCGTCAACTACTGGTTCAGATTTCACTTTCTCTCTGAGGCCATCCCTGGTTCTATTTCTTATTGCTATCTACTGCAACCCCCACAACCTGTCACTCCCGATTCTCTAAAGCATTGTTACCTTCTAACATGTATTTTCTTATATACTGTATTTATGAGAAAATCTTCCACTCCACAGCTAGGACATAAGCTCCTTGAGGGCAGAGATCTTTATCTGTTTTGTTTGATGTTGAATCACAGGGACCTAGTGTCTGGCATGTGTTAGGTGCTCATAAATGTTTATTGAATGAATAAATTCACAAAGAGAGCTTGCATTTTAAATACAAAAAGTGTGAAGAGGAAAGTGAGAAGGAAAGAAAGAAAATAAATGAGCATCAGAGGATTGACAGAATTGGCAGTGTATATTTGCAAATGCGATGGCCAGTGAAGGCTTCACTGTGGAGGTGTCTTCTGGGCTGAGGAGAAAGCACGACAATGAAGCTATCTGCCTAGCTATCTGCCTGTGTGGCCAGGAGAACATTAAAGTGAGGAAAATAGCAAATACTAAGACTGTGCTGGGTGTGAGCTTCTAATCAAGGACTCGGAGAAGACAACCATGGCAAAGGCACATGTGAGGGACAGAGAAAGGTGATGAGATTTTAAAGATCAAGAGGTTCCTGTTGATAGTTCACATTTTAATAGGATCTTCTGCAAATGGTCACATAACAATATATGTGATAATGTATGGCTGAAAAGAAAGATGATTTGTTTCTAAATCTTTCCTAAGTTGTACTTCAAACTTCCTCCTTTTACAACATACTTAGGTAAAGTCAGTTCACACTATGTCTTTTTGTGCTTTGGCAGAAATAAGATCAGCTTCAAAATTCTCAACTATTTTTTTTTTAGGTGGAAGGAAGTGGTGTGTGTGTGTGTGTGTGCACGCTTCTGAAATAATGTCGCATTTGGTCATTTGCACTTGAGTTGTGACTTTTAATCTTCCTGTCTTCTCTGAGGCTTTGCTTTGAAGGAGAGAGGGGCTCCGGGTCTGGTGGCTGTTTCTGCAGGAGTCTATTTGAGGCTGCAGTTTTCCAGTCTTAGCTAACCTATACATTT